AAGAAGAAGAAGAAGAAGAAGAAGAAGAAGAAGAAGAAGAAGAAGAACAAGAACAAGAACAAGAACAAGAACAAGAACTTTATTGTCATTGTACAAGTACAACGAAACTGTGGGTGCACCCCAGAACTGTTCGCAATACCACCACACCTAGAGTACTACTTCCAGTTTTGGTCACCACAATATAAAAAAGATGTTGAGACTCTAGAAAAAAATGCAGAGAAGAGCAACCAGGATGATTAGGGGACTGGAGGCTAAAACATACGATGAACAGTTACAGGAACTGAGTCTGGCTAGTCTAGTGAAGAGAAAGACCAGGGGAGACATGATAGTAGTCTTCCAATATTTGAGGGGCTGCCACAGAAGGGGTCAAGCTATTTTCCAAAACACCCGAAGACCAGACAAGGAATAATGAATGGAAACTGAACAAGGAGAAATCCAACCTAGAAACAAGGAGAAATTTTCTGACAGTGAGAGCAATTAATCCATGGAACAGAAGTTTCCATCAAAAGTTGTGAGAGATTCATCACTGGAGGCTTTCAAGAAGAGACTGGACTGCCACCTGTCAGAAATGGTGTAGGTCTCCTGCTTGGGCAGGGGTTTGGACGAGATTTCCAACTCTGTTAATCTGTTAATATCTGAAGAAGAATAGGATGCCAAGTAGTCTAACAAATTGGGCTATAATATGACCAGATTCTTTAATTCACTAGTAACTTTTTGTGTTCACATGGCCATATCTTAATTCTTCCTTCTCTCCTTCTTTCTCTCCAGCATATTGGATTCTGCAGAGCGACTGTTTTTAGATCACATGCTGCCCTTGAAAAACCTAAAGATGAACAGTATGAGTCGGACTGTGTCATCTTTGATGTCAAGGTATGGATGTTAAATGCAATTTTGTTCATCCTCTTTCCCCTCATTCTCATCAACTTAAGATGTGTAGACTTCAACTGGCTGGGGAATTCTGGGGGTTCAAGTCCACATATCTCTTGGTTTCTCTTATCCATTCTGTCCATTCAAGCAGCTCAAAATTAACTTCTTGTTCCAGTTATAGATTCCCCTGTATCCCTTCACATGAATAAATGCTCTGATATGTAATAGAGTTTGTTTGATCTTGCCTTAGCATAATGCAGCCTTTATGATTTGCAAACCATAGATTATTTTATTTATATGCTTCCTTTTCTCTGAGATTGTTATTTTATCCTCACCACGACGCTTTGGATTGTAGATTGGGCTGAGACAGAATAACCGGCTCAGAGCCATGGTATCCATTCAACAAACTGCGGTTATAACAAATTATGGCTAAGTCAACTCTTACAATAACAAAAGGAACAACCCTCTATTAACTGAAAGACAAACTGCCATGTTTCAATGTTATTCATTTGATTTCTACTCTAACATTCGCCAACTGCCAGATTACAATAGTCCTCAATTTACAACAACAATCCCAAATTTCCGTTGCAAAGGAGGTTATAGTGGACTATAGGAAAAAAAGAGCAGACATTCAGCCACTGTATATAGAGGGAGTTCATGTGGAACAGGTGGTTGAATGTAAGTTTCTCGGGACCATCATTACAAATAACCTGACCTGGAGTGCAAACACCGCTGCTTTAATTAAGAAGGCACAACAACGGTTGTATTTACTAAGGATTCTTAGGAAACAACAACTGGCTGAGAGTCTACTGACTACCTTCTATCGGAGTTCAATTGAGAGTATATTATCCTACTGTCTCTGTGTATGGTTCTCGAGCTGCACAGTGGCAGAGAAAAAGGCAATTCAGAGGGTGATCAAGATGGCCCAAAACATCATTGGCTGCTCACTTCCCTCTTTGGAAGAACTGTATAGGAATAGACGTAAGAGGAAGATACTTAATATATTGAATGACTCCTCTCATCCGGGACATCAGCTCTTTGAACTATTACCATCGAGAAGGAGATTTAGGGTATTAAGAACAAGGACGACCAGATTTAAGAACAGTTTTTATCCAAGTGCAGTTTTGAGTTTGAATGCAGGGTCATAAGATTTTTGTAGAATTAAATGGCTGAGAGTAATGGGGTATTTACATTTTTAAATTGCATAGAGATGATTGTATGGTTGGTTGTGTTTAGTTTAATTTTTTTTCTTTTTAGTGGTGTTTGTCCAGTTTTTACTTTGTGGAAGAGCACCTCATTTCGTTGCACCCGCTTGCGAGTGTAATGACAAATAAATTCTTATGTCTTATGTCTTATGTCAAAGCAAGTCTGTTGTTAAGTGAGTTTTGCCCTATTTTACGACCTTCCTTGCCACAGTTGTTAAGTGAATCACTGCACTTGTTGTTACCTTACTCACATGGTTGTTAAGTGAATCTGGCTTCGCCATTGACTTCGCTTGTCAGAAGGCCGCAAAAAAGAGATCACATGGACCTGTGACACTGCAACCGTCATAAACGTGAGTCAGTTGTCATGCATTCTAAATTTGACCCTGGGGATGCTGCAAAGGTCATAAGTGTGAAAAACAGTCATAAGTCACTTTTTTCAGGGCTGTTGTAATTTCAAAGTATCACTAAATGATTGAGGACTACCTGTACTGAAAATATTAAGAGCTGTTGATTTTCTTGATTTTCTTTTTTCAATTTTCAGTGGATTTTCTTAATTCACTGTTGTGTAAATGCATTGGAAAGTTCAAAGCAGGATAAAATCACAATAGCATTTAGAGTTATATGCCGCGTCACAGTGCTTGACAGCCCTCTCTAAGCGGTTTACAGAGTCAGCATATTTGCCTCTGACAATCTGGGGCCTCATTTTACCCACCTCGGAAGGATGGAAGGCTGAGTCAACCTTGAGCCTGGGGAGATCTGAACTGCCAAATTGCAGGCAGCCAGCAGTCTGCAGAAGTAGCCTGTAGTACAGCACTCTAACCACTGTGCCTCCGCGGCTTATGGTTCAATGGCCAAAAGAAGACTCATCCATGTTTTTTTTTCTTTTTTTCCAGGAGGGACATTCTCACACCCATTTGATTGAGCATCACTATGGAAAAAATATTCCTTCACCAGGACACAACAATGTTGTCCTGGACCTCGCCCATTCGCACAATCACACAAGCTCCCCTTATGTCTCTGATTCTCACGAACGTGTGGTAGAAGTGATAAAAGTGATAGAACTCCCACTTCCTGTGGCCAAAAGAGAAGCTCCAACAGAGACAGCACGTGATCACGCAAAAGCTGCACCCTTGTGTCCAGGAAAAATACATCACTTCAAGTTGTAGGCCAGCCATGCCAGAGAGCAGAGAGAAGCCGCCCAGTTAGTGCCAAACCCCTTTTCCAAATCTGAACTCAAACCTTGAATCCAAAAAGGAGTTTTACTCTGATACATTATAGTATTGGCCAAGTGTTGTGATCACCCGTTGTTGTTGTTACAAGAAAGAGGCTTTGTATTTGTGCCTTTCTGCTTTTAGAAATGCAGATCTCACTGTGTACTTAACATCTTCCAGTCTCCCTCTGTTCAGCCAAGGAACGACTAGAAAGTTGAAGAGAAGTTATATTAGCCCCAAAATCAAAATTCTTCTTCTTTTTTTGAGTCAATAACCTTCTTTCTCAGAAAGT